GTGTGTGTGTGGAGTATCAATCTGTGTGTGTCTCTGTGTGTGTGTGGAGTATCACTCTGTGTGTGTGTGGAGTATCACTCTGTGTGTGTCTCTGTGTGTGTGTGTGGAGTATCACTCTGTGTGTGTGTGTGGAGTATCACTCTGTGTGTGTGTGGAGTATCACTCTGTGTGTGTGTGTGGAGTATCACTCTGTGTGTGTGTGTGGAGTATCACTCTCTGTGTGTGTGTGGAGTATCACTCTGTGTGTGTCTCTGTGTGTGTGTGGAGTATCACTCTGTGTGTGTGTGTGGAGTATCACTCTGTGTGTGTGTGGAGTATCACTCTGTGTGTGTCTCTGTGTGTGTGTGTGGAGTATCACTCTCTGTGTGTGTGTGGAGTATCACTCTGTGTGTGTGTGGAGTATCACTCTGTGTGTGTGTGTGTGGAGTATCACTCTGTGTGTGTCTCTGTGTGTGTGTGGAGTATCACTCTCTGTGTGTGTGTGGAGTATCACTCTGTGTGTGTGTGTGGAGTATCACTCTGTGTGTGTGTGTGGAGTATCACTCTGTGTGTGTGTGTGGAGTATCACTCTGTGTGTGTGTGGAGTATCACTCTCTGTGTGTGTGTGGAGTATCACTCTGTGTGTGTCTCTGTGTGTGTGTGTGGAGTATCACTCTGTGTGTGTGTGTGGAGTATCACTCTGTGTGTGTGTGTGGAGTATCACTCTCTGTGTGTGTGTGGAGTATCACTCTGTGTGTGTCTCTGTGTGTGTGTGTGGAGTATCACTCTGTGTGTGTCTTTGTGTGTGTGTGGAGTATCACTCTGTGTGTGTGTGGAGTATCACTCTGTGTGTGTGTGTGTGGAGTATCACTCTGTGTGTGTCTCTGTGTGTGTGTGTGGAGTATCACTCTGTGTGTGTGTGTGGAGTATCACTCTGTGTGTGTGTGTGGAGTATCACTCTCTGTGTGTGTGTGGAGTATCACTCTGTGTGTGTGTGGAGTATCACTCTGTGTGTGTCTCTGTGTGTGTGTGGAGTATCACTCTCTGTGTGTGTGGAGTATCACTCTGTGTGTGTGTCTGTGTGTGTGGAGTATCACTCTGTGTGTGTCTCTGTGTGAGTGTGTGTCTCTGTGTGTGTGTGGAGTATCACTCTGTGTGTGTCTGTGTGTGTGTGTCACTCTGTGTATGTCTCTCTGTGTGTGTGTGGAGTATCACCACCACCACAACAACAACCACCACCACAACAACAACCACCACAACCACCGCCAGAACAACCACCGCCACAACAACAACCACAACAACCACCGCCAGAACAACCACCGCCACAACAACAACCACCACAACAACAACCACCACAACAACAACCACCACAACCACAACAACAACAGCCACAACAACCACCACAACAACAACAACCACCACAACCACAACAACCACCACCACAACCACCACAACAACAACCACAACCACAACAACAACAACCACCACAACCACAACAACCACCACCACAACTACCACCACAACAACCACCACCACAACAACCACAATAACAACCACCACCACAACAACCACCACCACCACAACAACCACAACCACCACCACAGCAACAACCACCACAACAACAACCACCACCACAACAACAACAACCACCACCACCACCACAACAACCACAACAACAACCACCACAACAACAACCACCACAACAACAAAAATCTGTGGTTGCGGCCTAGCCGAGTGTGCGGCAAGCCTGCGGCCTTGCCTGGCGGGTCCTGCCCGGCTCGCGAGGCCGCGTGGGGCGGGCGAGGCGAGGCGAGGCCGCGGTCTCACGGGGCGCGGGCCGGCGTCGCGCGGTGCTGTCCGTTGGCTGAATGGAATCATCAACAACATCAACAACATCACTATCATTATTATTATTAACATCATTAACATCACTATCATTATTAACATTAACATCACTATCATCAACATCACTATCATTATTAACATCAACATCACTATCATTAGTATTACCATCAACATCATCATTACCATCAACAACATCAACAACATCACTATCATTATTATTAACATCATTAACATCACTATCATTATTATTAACATTAACATCACTATCATCAACATCACTATTATTATTAACATCACTATCATTAGTATTTCCATCAACATCATCATTACCATCAACAACATCAACAACATCACTATCATTATTATTAACATCACTATCATTATTATTAACATTATTAACATCACTATCATTATTATTAACATTATTAACATCACTATCATCATTATTATTATTAACATCATCAACAACACTCATTATTATTAACATTAACATCACTATCATTATTATTAACATTAACATCACTGTCATTATTATTAACATTAACATCACTATCATCAACATCACTATCATTATTAACATCAACATCACTATCATTATTAACATCAACATCCCTATCATTATCATTGCCATCAACATCATCATTACCATCAACAACATCAACAACATCACTATTATTTTTATTAACATCATTAACATCACTATCATTATTAGTATTAACATTAACATCACTATCATCAACATCACTATCATTATTAACATCATTACCATCACTATCATTATTAGTAACATTATTAACATCACTATCATCAACATCACTATCATTATTATTATTAACATCACTATCATCAACATCACTATCATTATTATTATTAACATCACTATCATTATTATTAACATCACTATCATTATTATTAACATTAACATCACTATCATTATTATTAACATTAACATCACTATCATCAACATCACTATCACTATTATTAACATCAACATAACTATCATTATTATTAACATCATTAACACCACTATCATTATTAACATCATTAACATCACTATCATTATTATTAACATTATTAACATCACTATCATTATTATTAACATTATTAACATCACTATCATTATTATTATTAACATCACTATCATTATTATTATTAACATTAACATCACTATCATTATTATTAACATCATTAACATTACTATCATCAACATCACTATCATTATTAACATCATCAACATCACCATCATTATTATTAACATCAACATCACTATAATTATTATTAACATCATTAACATCACTATCATCAACATCATTATTAACATTAACATCACTATCATCAACATCACTATCATCAACATCACCATCATTATTATTAACATCAACATCACTATCATCAACATCAACATAATCATTACCATCAACATCACTATCAACATCACCATCATTATTATTAACATCAACATCATCAACATCACCATGAGTGGGTTAGTGAGTGGTGAGTGAGTGGTGATTGAGTGAGTGGTGAGTGAGTAGGTGGGTGAGTGAGTGGTGAGTGAGTGAGTAGGTAGGTGAGTGAGTGTGTAGTGAGTGGTGAGTGTGGTGAGTGGGTGAGTGAGTA